CCCCCATGCACCCTTGATAATTTATAAATTATTATTATGTCTTATATTACACTGCCCGGCGTCTCCCTTCACCTACCCCTCTGTTGCCCATCCCCCAGAGAGGAGGAGGTTATATGTAGTTCTCTGTGATCAATTCCCCCTTCCTACATCCAATAGCTTATTTTTTTTAAATCATTTTATTGGGAGCTCATACAACTCTTATCATAATCCATACATCCATCGTGTCAAGCACATTTGTACATTTGTTGCCATCATCATTCTTAAAACATTTGTTTTCTACTTGAGCCCTTGGTATCAGCTCCTCATTTTCCCCCTTCGTCCCCTTTCCTCATGAATCCTTGATAATTTGTAAATTATTATTTTGTCCTGTCTTACACTGTCCAGCATCTCCCTTAAAGACTTATATATATCAAGATTCCCAGATACTATTAGACATTCATGATAGACACATAGGAACTCCATTGGGGAAATTTGTTACTTAGGGAGGGGGGGGGGAAAGAGCCTAATTATGAAACTTGAAGGAGAGGTCTCTGAGGCAAGCCCTTCTTTAGGTCTGCCTGTTTTAAGCATTTTATGAATATTAACTTGTTTATTTATCACAACAACTTGATGAGAGGATTATTATCTACCACTATTCCTGTAATACAAATGAAGATGCTGAGGCACAGGGAGGTTAATTAGGCCCAAGGCCGAGTGATAGATTTTGGACTCAAACTCACTACACTATTCAGCATCGACTGCCTCTCAAAAGGAAGAGAAAGGGCACCTGCATCACTGTGCATTCTTGTGGTCCCTAAATGGCCAAGAAACTATCCCAGCAGGGGTAATCCTTGGAATGCTGCAGTGAGCACCAATCACTAAAAGCCCTATCAGAGAGGTTCCAAGATGACATCCAGACATCCAGGTAGAATCACCCACCCAGTGCTCCTGCTGTTAGATTGGAAAATTAAGAGGAAAGGGAGAGAGGGACCAGACCTCAACCTGGTACACCAAGCCTCGAGGGCAACATACCAGCATGAAGCAGAGAATTAACAGGTTTGTGGGGCTAACTCCAATTCCAGCTATGTTGACCCCTCACCAAAAGATTGCACTAGAGAGGACAGCACTGAAGATACAGTCCTGGAGAGTGGTGGGTCGGCCCAGACCACACAGGAACAAACTAAGAGGAAGGAAGGGAGGGAGGGAGGGAGGGAGAGAGAGAAGGAGTGAAGGAAAGAGAGAAAGAGAGAGAAACCACATTCTGGCCCACCAAGCCCTGAGGACAACACTCCTCCTTAAACCAGACAAGAGAGGACTGTAGCACTGGCTCTACCATGAGACATGACATCCCCCAAATGGCCCACAGTGCTTTAGGGGACAGCACTGGAGATACAGGAATTGTGCCAGGTCTGACACACACACCCCACCCCACGCAACACACCCACCCGAAGGGAGCATAACAGAATGAAGTCTCTGAGGAATCCCCAAAATAAACTTGAGACTTGGAGGGCAGGGTTTGGCACCTCATCAGACTCCATCGGAAAACATACATAAAGGTCAGCAGACAGACCTGGAACCATTTATAGACCCTTTCTTCTTCTTTTTCACATTTATCTATATAAGATAGGCAAGATAAACAATCTCGAGGAGAAAACAACCGGACTGACAGTTCTGCAGGGACAGGGGAGAGGGGGAAAGAGAAGAAAGGAGTGGGGGGGGGG